AGATTTCCCAGCTGAGCTATGCTGGCTCAGGAATTCTGGGAGTTGAAGTCCACCAGTCATGAGGGGGCCATAGTTCCCCTATGCTGGCTCAGGAATTCTGGGAGTTGAAGTCCACAAGTCATAAAAGGGCCAAGTTTGAAGACCCTTGGTTTAAATATTTAAATATTTTTTCCTCACGGTCACGTGATCAAAATTCAGGCATTTGGGCAGGGGTAGGCAACCTTGGCTCTTTTATGACTTGTGGACTCCAACTCCCAGAATTCCTGAGCCAGCCATGCTGAGGGGAAAGGGAGAGGTTTCCAAGTTGAGCCATGCTGGCCCAGGAATTCTGGGAGTTGAAGTCCACGAGTCATGAGGGGGCCATAATTCCTCCATGCTGGCTCATAAAAGGGCCAAATTTGAAGAGCCCTATTCTATCTAGTGCAGGGGTAGGCAACCTTGGCTCTTTTATGACTCATGGACTTCAACTCCCAGAATTCCTGAGCCAGCCACGCTGAGGGAAAAGAGAGGTTTCCAAGCTGAGCCATGCTGGCTCAGGAATTCTGGGAGTTGAAGTCCACGAGTCATAAAAAAGCCAAGGTTGCCTCCCCCTGGTATAGACCTACACCCTTACATATAAGTAACATATAAATATTAATCACTGTCCATTTTGAATACATAACGGAAGGAGGACGCTTGAGAGTTCACAAGGTTTAATAGCCTCAGTGCCCTACCCCAGACATGCATGGGCATTTATATCCTTGGGCCTGTTAAATTTGCTGTGATTTGCCTCTCAAAAGGAGGAGAGAGAAAAAAAAAGTAGAGATTTTATTTTCCTATAGCAAGTAACATGGATCCCTAGAGATCTTAGGAAGCCATGGTTATTAGCCATGATGGCAGTGGGACTTCCTCTGAAGGCCGTCTGCTGGGAGACTAGGAGGCTTTCTTGGGTGGTCAGTAAGAACAGCATGTTCTCACTCTTGGCAAGATGTGTGGACTTCAGTTCCTAGAACTGCTGGCTGGGGAATTCTAGGACAGTGGTTGTGAGGACCCACCCCACTTTGCATCTTAAGAAGACAGAACTCTTGGAATAATTCTTCCAACAGGAATCCTTTATTAAGAGAAAATGGTTGCAGGCATGCTAGACAGGACTTGGGGTTCAAGCTCTCCCATTCAAGGTTTTAAGGGGTTCCCCAGTAGTCCCACCCAATCAACCCCCCTTCCAGTGATAGTTTCAAGTATCACAATTCCATCCCCTTTCTTCTTCCGTCTGGATGGAGACTTCAGATAACTACATGAAAGGCAATTACTCTTCTTTGATATGTTAAAGCTTAGAGGCCACAATAAACACACATTCAGTCCTTTGAAGTGTGCTGAAGGAAGTGAGGGCCATAAAGCCCCTTTGCTCTCCCCCTTTTCTCCCTCTTATGGCAGAATCCAGAGAAGGCAGAATTGGGAGTTTCTATGTTTGATAATTAAAGATGAAATATAATTGGATTCTGACATCCGGCCCCTCTTAACAATAAGAGAGATCCACCAGGGGTTCGCCTTCCGAGCTGTCATCTGAGGCATCCACCGTCCCTGTGGTGTAGGCTGGAGTTCTTTCCCCTTGGTGAGCAGAGGTGGGGTTTTCTGCAATTTCCATCATTTTCATGGCTGTTTCTTTTGGCTTAGCTGAATACCCTCTGGGTTTGTTGATTGGGGATCTGTCTGGGTTGTGCTGGGGGGCCTTTGAGCGGCATTCTACAGCTCGATGCCCTTCTCTTCCGCACTTGAAACACCCCATCTGCTTCTTGGCTGTATCCGATGATTTCACCGGTTGGTGTGTCAGCTCAGGCGGGGGGCGGCTCCATTGTTTTCCTCGGCGATGCCTCTTCAATATGTCGATCTCTGCTTCCTCTGCCAAGACGTACCATTCCTCAAGTCGATGTGGGTCTCCTCGGGGCAGGCAAGCATCATATAGATCATAGTTTAGTCCGTCTTTGAAACGGCCAAGGAGGATGTCTTCTGGCCAATTCAGTTTGCTGGCAATGGCTCGGAATTCTTGTGTATACTCAGCCACTGGGCGTTTGCCCTGCCTCATCGTTGTTATTCTTTCACGGGCTTTGCGATCAGCCAGGGGGTCTTCAAACCGTCTTCTCAACGAGGACATGAAACGGTTGAAGTTACTGAGTTCTGGGGCATTGGAGTCATGCAGGTTCACCACCCAATCTGCAGCTGGTCCATCCAGGGCAGATTGCACGATCCGGATGCGGGCTTTGTCGCTGGGGATGTCCTGCCCATATTCCTCCATGTAGCTGAGGACTTGGGTTAGGAAAAACCCCAAGCGTGTTGGCTCCCCTTTGAATTTCACCTCCAACGGTGGACGTCTTGGAATGGATCGGTGCCTCCATTGTGGGTGGTAGTGTCTTCCGTCCAGATTTCCATCTGTGGTCCGGTAGGGGGTGGGAGCTCCTGGATCAGTAAATGTCCCTGGGGTTGCAGGTTCCACGTCCCCCTCGGTGTCTCTCCCTTTGTGGCTCCAGGAACTGGGGCGGGCGTAGGGCTCAGGAATCTCCTCTCCTAGGGAGCTGAGAGTTCTCTTCATCAGGTCAATAGCTCTCTCTAGGATCCAGTCTGAGTACGGCATACAGCTTCCTCCCTCTTCACTTGCGTGCAGGGATTTCTCCATCTCCTGCTTCCATTCTGGTTGCTTGGTTCCCCGTCTCAGGGTCACTTTTCTTGATTCCTTTCCCCACTCGCTTTTCTTTCCAACGCCCATCGACCAGCGAGGCTTGTGGTCCTGTGTCTCCACCACTTCTTCTTCTGAGAAATCTGGCCTCTCGGATCCCAACATCTGGCAAGGTTCCAACTGGGTCAGCGGCTCTCTTTCCAGGGAGTTTTCTCCCTCTCTTGCTTCGTTGTCTGACATGGTAAATTTTTGCAAAATCCCCCGGCAAGGGTCTACCTTCCAGGTGGATTAATTTTGCAAGTCCTGTCTAATGTGAGGACCCACCCCACTTTGCATCTTAAGAAGACAGAACTCTTGGAATAATTCTTCCAACAGGAATCCTTTATTAAGAGAAAATGGTTGCAGGCATGCTAGACAGGACTTGGGGTTCAAGCTCTCCCATTCAAGGTTTTAAGGGGTTCCCCAGTAGTCCCACCCAATCAACCCCCCTTCCAGTGATAGTTTCAAGTATCACAATTCCATCCCCTTTCTTCTTCCGTCTGGATGGAGACTTCAGATAACTACATGAAAGGCAATTACTCTTCTTTGATATGTTAAAGCTTAGAGGCCACAATAAACACACATTCAGTCCTTTGAAGTGTGCTGAAGGAAGTGAGGGCCATAAAGCCCCTTTGCTCTCCCCCTTTTCTCCCTCTTATGGCAGAATCCAGAGAAGGCAGAATTGGGAGTTTCTATGTTTGATAATTAAAGATGAAATATAATTGGATTCTGACAGTGGTTCTCAACCTTTTTAATGCCGCGACCCCCAACCGGTCGTAAGTTGAGGACTACTCAACCGGTCGTAAGTTGAGGACTACTCAACTGGTACAGCACCGTTTGCAGAATGGGACTTTTGGCGGGCTCAGCAGGGCAGAGACAGCCTGGACAATTTCTATTGGCTTTTGAAAGCCAATAGAATTAGACTCTATTCAAGAGAGTCTATTCTATTGGCTTTCAAAAGCCAATAGAATAAAAGGAAGTAGCACAGCTAAGGAAAAGGGGAAAAAAATGGCGGACTGCGTTGTTTGGCGATCCCCATGAAATGGTCGTTCGACCCCAAATGGGGTCCCGACCCACAGGTTGAGAACCACTGTTGTAGGAGAATGTCTAGTTGTCAACTTGCCAAGGTTGAGAAACATTGATTTAGAAAACCAGACTGTTGAACTAGGCCAGGGGTAGGCAACCTTGGCTCTTTTATGACTCGTGGACTTCAATTCCCAGAATTCCTGAGCCAGCATGGCTCAGTTTGGAAACCTCTGCCTTTCCCTCAGCGTGGCTGGCTCAGGAATTCTGGGAGTTGAAGTCCACGAGTCATAAAAGAGCCAAGTTTGAAGACCCCTGGTTTAAATATTTAAATATTTTTTCCTCATGGTCACGTGATCAAAATTCAGGCATTTGGGCAGGGGTAGGCAACCGTGGCTCTCTTATGACTCGTGAACTTCAACTCTCAGAATTCCTGAGCCAGCCATGCTTAGGGGAAAGGGAGAGTTTCCAAGCTGAGCCGTGGTGGCTCAGGAATTCTGGGAGTTGAAGTCCACGAGTCATAAAAGAGCTAAGGTTGCCTACCCCTGCACTAGATAGAATAGGGCTTTTCAAACGTGATCCTTTTATGACTCGTGGACTTCAGCTCCCAGAATTCCTGAGCCAGCACGGATCAGCTTGAAAACCTCTCCCTTTTCCCTCAGCATGGCTGGCTCAGGAATTCTGGGAGTTGAAAATCATGAGTCATAAAGGAGCCAAGGTTGCCTACCCCTGAGCTAGATGAACCAGGTATTCGATCCAGCCAAGCACCGCTTGTTCTTCTTAATTCATGGGAGGTTGGTGCTTGTGTAATGGGTAAGCAGGACGATCCCCATGTGTAACTCACTAAAAAGGTCATTAAAGAGGGCAAGAGAGTAGAAAGAATGGTATTCTTGTAGGAGGATCTTCCCCAACGCAATGTTCTCCAGATGTTTTGGACTCAATCAAGTTTCTGAGCTGAGTTTGACCTCTGATGAGGTTACCGAGTTTTCATAACAGCACTATAGAAGTGGTTGGCCAGGATGGGTCTTTGACTTCCCCAGTCTAAACTGGAAATTTCCTTGTGGTCTCCTGTCCAAGCTGATTTGGATTTCCTTGTGGTCTCCTGTCCAAAGACAAACCACATCTAATCCCTTCATCCTTCATGAATTATAAAATTGTGGGAAACCAGCCCCATTGAAAGGTTTGGGGCAGCTGCCCTACACTTTTCTCTCTCTAACTCTTCTGACTTCTCTATTTCTCTGCTCCATCTCCGTCTCTCCTTTCTTCTGTCCTTCCCCCCCTTCCCCATTTTTTCCTTTCTGTTCCCCCACTCCTCGTTGTCTGCTCCCCACCTTTCTGCTGGTCCCCCACTTCCGCAGCATCCATCTCCTTCTTCAAAGTTCTTTGCCCTCCCCAGCTCAGAAGCCCACTGGCTGGAGCTTTGCATCACCAGGGGGAGATGCCTGATAGTGGACTTCGATTCCCAGAATTCCCCAGGCCACACGCTCTTGCAGGGAACCCTGGGAATTGAAGTCGATACTCATCAGGCAATCCTCCAAGTTGGGAAAGCTGGGCCAGGACCTTGGAGAGCTCCTGTAACAGCCTTGGCCAAGTATCCCATTCCTGCAGGAACGGCCGGCCAAAGGAATATCTCATCCCGCCGACTGACCCCTCATTTTGCTTCCAACACTCGATGTGCAGCCTCCGTAATATTGCCCACACAACTCCATTCCCTTGTGTGTCTTTTTTGCACGCCCTGGTCTGTCGCTGCCGCTTCTGTACTTACTCCTTTTGTTCTTCTTTTTCCACCTTAACCCCTGTGTCCCCCCTCCCCCCCCACTCCACTTGCCTGTCCAGCCTCTTTTGGAAGTATCTCCTAACCCCCTGATGTGCACCGTTGCTGAGCTCTTCGTTCTGCCTGGACCGTACAGACTTTGCGCATGGCCAGCTCAGCCGCATGCCGGGGGAAATTAGAACGGGATTGACCCCAGACTGTCTCCCTTGGGGTGTATGATACGCTCCCAATCTCCCCTTCCTCTCTTTTAACCCCTCACTGTCTATGTAGAGACCAGCTCTTCTTTGGTTGAGAAGTCCCAGCCCGCCAAGGTTCCAGCTTCGGGACTAAGGAAGTGCAGCTTGGCGAACTGCGATGTGAAATTTTCCCCCTGGCCAAATGTTGGCTTGCGAGAAGGATCTTCCAACGACGTCCTGCTGGAAGAACACCAAATGTTGGCCAAGCAAGTGGCCCAGAATTCAGGTTTGATCTCCGATCTCTGAGCTGGGCAGAAAATGGCTTTCCCAGACTAGTCAAGGAGTGGATCCCAACGGGCAGAGCGACTGAGCCCCGGGTTCGAAAACAGCCTTTGCTACTGTGGACGAGTGCAATCAGGTGAGCAAAGTTCCCGGCTGGACCTCCTTCTCCCATTGGAGTAAATCAGACCTGAGCCGCGAAGTTGTTTTCAAAAGAGCCCCTTTGCAAACTTTGGCAGGAGATGGACCTGGACCACGAGGCTCAGACGCGCTTCTTATGAAGGACAAGAGCGAGGAGCATGGAATGCTAAATGTTGCTACTACTCTGTGAGAAACAGGTGCATTGGGAGGGTGGGGGTGGAAATGGGGTAGGGGTGGAACTTCAACCATTGGAGGGATCCTGGAACAATGTGATTTCTATAGACATATATAAATATTCATTCATTTCACGGAGAGAAGCTGACCGGTAACAAACAGGAGGGGAAAGCTGGAAATCAGAGGGTCTTTCCTTGTCAAACCAGGAGAATAATTAGAGAGAGGGGAGGCAGGCGGGTGGGGTCAGCAAGCCCAGGTTTCAGGGCTACAAAAGAGGGCTTGATGTTCCTGCTTCACACTCTTTGGGGAGAACATGGGAAGGACTTGAGATCAGGGCTAGGATGCTTGCTTAACCTTGGAAGCATCAGAGTCGATCCCTGAGGCTTTTAAATAAAAGCATTACATTTCTGCCCCCAAATCGTGGAAGACTGTGTAGACCCTGGGAGAAAGGAAAGCTGCGTTCACAAGACACAAGGATCCCCATCAGTCAAAATGCTGGAGGCTGACTTTCCAATGAGGCTAGGATTGTTTGGGGGATAACCTCGGTTAGGTTATTTCACGGATCTTCAAACTGGGCCACTTTAAGACTTGTGGACTTCAACTCCCAGAATTCCTCAGCCAGGCACGTGTGCCTGGCTGAGGAATTCTGGGAGTTGAAGTCCACAAGTCTTAAAGTGGCCCAGTTTGAAGACCCCTGGGTTATTTGGTGGGTGAAATGCAAATCCAGTCCACCTGAGCATATGATGGTTCCGTATATTAGGAGAACTATATATATGTAGGTCTTTGGTTATTTGGGTTTTCTCCCACATCAAATTGGAAGTGTCTTGGCGACATTTCGACGAAGTCCCATTTGTCATCTTCAGGCTGGTGTTTTCGGCTTCGTGCTTCTAGGAGCACGAAGCCGAAAACACCAACCTGAAGATGACGAATGGGACTTTGTCGAAACGTCGCCAAGACACTTCCAAGAAATGGGGTACTGCTAGCCCTCAACTTACAAACATTGTATAGGGTTTCCTGCCTGAGCAGGGGTTGGACTAGATGACCTCCAAGGTCCCTTCCAACTTGTCACCGGGGTTAAGTGGATCACTGGAGTTCTTAAATTAACAGCACAGTTGCCACGTGTCTAAATTTTAATCACAATACCATGTAATGTTTGTAAGTGTGAACGATGGTTGCCTTGTTCCCCAGTGCCATCATAACTTCAAGGGGGGTCGCTAAATGAACTGTGTGCCGAGGACCGCCCATAGGAGAACTGTTGGGTGGGCTTCTGCCTCAGTTCTCCAAAACAATCCTGGCGTGCCTCCTATCAGAAGAACACTTTTATCTTTTTCCTCTGCACTCACGCCAGTATGTTCTGCGCACTGCTGGGATAAAAACAAAAGCTAGTGATCCTTTATCTTATACAGAGACCATACAGGTGGTCCTCGGTTTACAACGGTTCGTTTAGTGGCCGTTCAAAGTTGCAGCCTTGTACAAAGCGACTTGCAGCATGATCCTTTTTCACACTTACGACTGTTGCAGCATCCCCGTGGACATGCGATCCAACTGGCTCATATTTATGACAGTGGCAGTGCCCCAGGGTCACGTGATCCCCTTTTAGCGACCTTCTGCCGTGCAAAGTCAACCTGGAAGTCAGATCCACTTAACGACTGTGTGACAAACTGAACAAGCGCAGGGATTCCCTTCACAAGTGTGGCGAGAAAGGCCTTAAAACGGGGCCAAGCTCGCTTAACAACTATCTCGCTTAGCAATGGAAAAGCTGGGCTCAACTGCCGTCATAAGTCGAGGACCGCCTGTACGAATGCATGCGCCCTGGAAGGAGAAGGCTGGGATGGGCTGCTCTGAGGATAGGTTGGGAATACGATTTGAGGGACTCTCCTGGGGCAAGTCTCAAGAAAATCGGATTTCTTGAACTCTCCCGGTTGTTTTGAGGTTTTTGAGTTACCGGGGGTTTCCTCTGTGCCTGTGCACACCATGAAGATAACCCTGGTTTAAATAACAGTTCCGTAATGTTAGGAAGCGCAGATCTGCAGGTTCTGCAAAGGACCGTTTCCAGGTTCCTTCAAAAGAAGCCACGATAAATTTGTAGTGAAATGTAGGCATCCAAATTGATCTTTGCCAACCTTGCCCATTTGCAGATGGGTGGACTTCAACTCCCAGAATTCCCCAGCCAGCAAAGCTGGCTGGGGAATTCTGGGAGTTGAAGTCCACCCATCTGCAAGTGACCAAGGTTGGGAAACATTGACCTACTGTATGTTGTCTTGTTTGTGTAAAAGTTAGTGTTGTTTGGGGTGGGAGGGCAAGCTGCTGGGGGAAGAAAGGGGAAAGGAGCTGGATATTGTTCATGGAATTGGGGACTAGGGAATCTTTTTTAAAAAAAGGCACTTTTTTTGGTTCGTTTGGTTATTTTTATTTTTATTTTGTACTTGACACCAATATCAAAATTAAAAGAAGTCGTTCTTTCAAACGGAAAACAGCATTGTGTCCTCTGGGCTGTTCTTTGAAATCTTTCTTATATAGCAAGTCTTGACTACTTCATCGGATCCGTGTGGGACCATCCCTAGGAACTGTACTGGACGGCGCAGCCGGAAACCGTTGGCTATCCCTGATCCAAAGCAGGGTCCTTGAGTTACAACCCTTCATTTAGTGACTGTTCAAAGTTACAACGGCGCCGGAAGAAGGGGCTTACGACTGCTTTTCACACTTACGACTGTTGACCGTATCTCCACAGTCCTGTGATTGAGGAACTGGCATGTATTTATGAGAACTGCCTGGTCACGTGATCACCCTTTGCAACCTTCCCAGTCGACTTCCAATAAGCAAAGTCAGTGGGAGAAGCCAGATTCGTTTAACAACCGCATGATTCACTTAACGACGGTGGCAAAAAAGGTCATAAAACGGAGCAAGACTCACTTAACCACAATGGAAATTTGGGACTCCAGTGTGGTCGTAAATAGAGGACTACCTGTACTTGGAGTGGGCCTATTGTACATACAGTGATTCAGTCTGGGACCAGGATACCCATGGATAGTACTTGTTGGCGATTCATTAAAGCAGCCGCATCTCTTTCTGGGCTCATCGTTTCCAAATCAGGCCTAGAATTAACACAGCTAATTTAATGAGATACTAACCCAGGGGTAGGCAACCTTGGCTCTTTTATGACTTGTGGACTTCAACACCTAGAATTCCTGAGCCAGCCACGCTGAGGGGAAAGGGAGAGGTTTCCAAGCTGAGCCATGCTGGCTCAGGAATTCTGGGAATTGAAGTCCACGAGTCATAAAAGAGCCAAGGTTGCCTACCCCTGGATTAACCAGTCTGTATTCACACTCCAACTTTTCTCCATCCTATCACAACGCTATATCCGGAGTGGGGTTTTTTTTTTCTCTTAAGCCTGGAGACTCATTGTTTCCTGAGATTAAAAGAAACAACAAAGCAACAAAGATGATTAGAGGACTGGAGGCTAAAATGTATAAGGAACAGTTGCTGGAATTGGGGATCTCTAATTTAATGAAGAGAAGGACAAGGGGGGACATGATAGCAGTCTTCCAATATCTCAGGGGCTGCCCCAAAGGAGAGGGAGTCAAGCTATTCTCCAAAGTGCCTGAAGGCAGGACAAGAAGCAACAGATGGAAACTAATCAAGGAGAGAAGCAACCTGGAACTAAGGAGAAACTTCCTGACAGTGAGAACAATTAACCAGTGGAACAACCTGCCTCCAGAAGTGGTGAATGTTCCAACACTGGAGGTTTTTAAGAAGAAATTGGACAGCCATTTGTCTGAAATGGTATAGGGTCTCCTGCCTGAGCAGGGGGTTGGACTAGATGACCACCAAGGTCCCTTCCAACTTTATTGTTGTTGTTGTTGTTATTATTATTATTGTTATTATTATTAAAACCTCTTAATCCCTTTTGTCAAAAAAACCCCAAAACAAAACGGTCCCTGCTTCCTTCAAAAGAGGAAATGAGACGAGGCTGCTGAAATGGCCCCACCAAGGTTTGCAAAATACAACATTCATTTTTTTCCTTCAATTTTGACCTGCCCCCCCCCCAAAAAAAACAGTACTTGGCATCTATCTTAAGAGGCCCTAAACAGCTGGGCAATGTTTTGCTCTGTTCATCTCTATAGAATTTGTCTTTCATTTGGTTTTATGCTGAAAAGCAGGGAAACCTCACAGTGGGAGTCCTTTTCGAAGACAACAAAGATGGCCGTGTGTTTACTAGCTGTCTATTGTGCAAGACATTCCCTGCGGGAAGGAAGTGCATTTCTTCCACACCACCGATGCGACTCTCATTCTTGGCCTTGCTCTACAGACGTTAACAACGGGGGTACGAGTTGCACAGAGATAGAGCACACAATACAAAAACTGCAGACCAAGGAGGCACGGGGAACACAAACACACACAAAACCAATTGAGATGGCCCAATTCATATTTGCACATCGCTCGGAGGCTTTCTGGATTGGACAATGTAGGAGACACATAAACACATAAAAACAAAAATCGATAATAAACATCTGCGAAAAAGGGCTCTCTTTTTCATTTCCACTTTTGCCTTGATCAGGTGCCATCCAGCCGGATCTAACCCTTGGAGACCCTACAGATGGGTGTCTGCCATTTTAACCTCTCCCTGCTGATAATCCATAACAATTCCATGGACACTTCAGAAATTCTCTTTCTTTCGGTTGTCCCTTCTTTGTTTATGTCTCTTGACTGCCCAGTTCTGTCCATTTTTTTCTAGCCTATCATCCATTCCCATCAACTGGGCATCTGTTCTGATGTTTACCATGGTCTCAAAAGGAGCAATCTGACGTTATATACTGCAGCAGTGTTTCTCAACCTTGACAACTTTTTTTTTTTAATTGAATTTTTTTCAAAAATTTTACAAATAAACATCCACCCCCCCCCTCCCAAACCACCCCGCCCTCCCCCCCCCCGACTTCCCAGAACTGAGTATAGGATTATTTAATAAATTTTAAAAAATAACGTATACAATTTATAAGATAATTAATAATAATAATAAAAATCATAATAATAATATATATAATAATAATATACGTAAAAAAGGAAGAAGAAGAAAGGGAAAAAGAAAAGAGAGAGAGAAAGAAAAAAGAAAGAGGTAGGCGAAAAATAAAACATATATAGAAAAGCATATAAATAATAATACAAAAGAAGAAAGAAAGAAAGAAAGAAAGAAAACAATCATTACAAGTTATAAAAAGGCTAAATAATATTTTTCCATATCTAAATTATGTTGTATAAAATTTATCCATTTTTCCCATACCGCAAAAAATTTCTCTTGAGATTGCTCCTTTAAGAAAGCCGAAATCTTTGCCATTTCTGCCAAATACGAAACTTTATAAAACCATTCTTGTAAAATAGGCAAGGATTCCTTCTTCCAATATTGTCCTATTAACAGCCTAGCGGCTGTAATCAAATTTAGCATCAATATAACCTCCCTAGCATCACAATCAGTAACATTACCTAATAAAAATAATTGCGGAGTAAATTTTACCCTCCTTCTAAAAATTCTCTGAATATTCCACCATATCTTAATCCAAAAAGCTTTTATATGCTTACACGTCCACCAGATATGATAATAAGTAGCATCCAAGTGTCCACATCTCCAGCATTTCGGCTGTAAATTAGAGTACATAATGGACATTTTCTTTGGATCCAGGTGCCATCTATAAAACATCTTATAAAAATTCTCTCTTAAATTTTGCGCTTGTGTGAATTTAACATTTCTTATCCAAATAAGTTCCCAATTATCCATTGAAATCGATTCACCAATATTCTGTGCCCATTTAATCATACAATCTTTAACTAATTCAGATTCTGAATCCAATTCCACTAAAACCCCATAAACTCTCTTAAT